AGACATATAAAACTCAATGATGCAGAAGATGCAGAGAAGCCCATTTTACCTGACGTTATTGAGAATTTCCATAAACCTTTCAGTTCCATCTTCTGGAGGCATCTCTGGATCAGACTGCAGCCATCCTATATCATCTGCAGATCCCCGAACAGTCCTTTGTGTTCGTTCAATAAGCCCGAGAACAAACATTGGAAGTTTAGAGAAGTCCATGGCCAAGTTAAGAAGCTTCAACTAAGATTGCTTCTGCATATTTAAGCAAGCACATTTGTGAGTAAAGATCACAAAAAGGCACGAAACACAAATCAGAGGAAAAGAATATCTATTCTTTATCTTTCTTCAAGGAATCATAACTGTTGGAACAAATTGTTTGAGATTTTAGTTAACCCACAAGATTAAGAAATTAACGGAATAAAAAAATACACCACCATAAGAAAGACATAATTTACGTGGTTCAGCTCTAATTTAATTGAGTCTATGTCCACGGGTACTCACAAGAAAAAATTCACCATTAAAATAAGGAGATACAATTTGTGGTACTCTTAGAAAAATATCTAATCCTCAATTACACCCAAATTTTACTCACAATATTTTTTAAATGCGAGACACATTCAAAAAACACTCAATAAAATAATTTTAACCACTCTGCTGTTGCTCATGCTCTTGCTCACCCTCATCAAAAGCACCCACAAAACTCTTATATTTTCTATAGCTCACTTTGCTTTGGATTGCTCTTCTTGGTGTCTTTGCCGAATGGCCAAATGGCCTTTTATAGCCAAATGCCAACCACCCACAATGAATGCAATGGGCTCCAAAGTCATAATCCAACCATGCACAATAAATGTTGCATGGACAAAATTGCAGCAACCAAATTTCCATTTCAAAGGCTGCCATGAGACTTCCAATTTTTCAACAAAATTGGGCTGCCATGAGATTTCCTTGCAACCAAATTTCAAAGGCTGAAATTTGCATGCTTTTTTCAACCAACATGCAGAACCCAGATGCCGCAACAATAACTTATAAAAGGCATCCATTCTTAAGCACGGAGGGGAAGAATACCCTTGAAAAAGAGTAATCCCATTTTGTGGGGTTATGATTTGATGGTATTATTGCCTGGTATTTTCAGATATACTTTCAGTATAAGTCCTTGTGATCTCATCATGGGTAGGAGGCACGGCAGTTACAGAAGTAGAGCATTTAGAAAAGGTTGAGACATTTCCACTTGAAGACTGA